TAATCCCACCACGAAGGCCCACCCTCGTGACCTTGCCTAAACTTAATTATCTCCCAAAGGCTCCGTCTCCAAATATCATTATATTGGGGATTAGGGCTTCAACACATGAATTTTGTGGTTTTTGTGGGAGGTTTGAGGGAGGGGGCACAATTCAGTCCATAACAGTCAACAATAAGAACTTATTCAGAAACAATTTTTTTTTACCTAAGTGACATTTTAAAAACTATGATCTAGAATTGTTCTCATTTTATCTGTGGGTAAGATTATCTAAAAATCTTCATAGAAAAAGTTAAAATTACTATTGCTCATTCATCTTGGAATATATAGCTAAATTATGCATTATTGGAATAAAGTAGAACTGTGAAATTGTATGAAATTGCTGAGATGATTGTACTATCTATCCCATTACATAAATGTTCATAGTTTGAGAAGACCTGTAAATGGCTCTTCGTGTCTGTTAAAATAGCTTATAAAAAGAGATATTGGAGAGTTTTCTTTTCCTGTGTGGAAAATAATATCCAATTTTATGGGTAATTATGATCATTTACTGAAGCTTCTTTTGAAATTAGTCTCCTTCTCTCCATAAATGGATGATGCAGTGACAAGGAAGCCTTACCATCTTAGTGCTTTATATTTTTTGACAAAACTTTATGTAACATTATTCTAAAAATGTCAAAGATAGGTTGGTCTTATATCAACAATACCCCTAGGGTAGAATAAGTATGATCTTCCTTTAACATTGAGAAACTTGAAACTTGAAGAAGATATTTGACTTAAGGTCATAATCCAATTTGGATCAGTTCTGCTACTTCAAGTCATATATGCTATGTGTTTAAAGAACATAGAATATTTATATTACGTTGGTCTGAGAAATAGTAATTAATCAGAGAAAGATACTAATAAATTTTACTCTTATAATTATGTAGAAAGGTGAATAGTTAGAGAATACTACCTCTAGTTAAAGTGTACTTGAAAATTTATATATATTATTCTTATTCTAAAATAATATAATTAAATAGTGATGTATTTCAAAAGAAATACATTTCTTTTGAAGTGAACTGAATACATTTCTTCTTTGTTTACAAGAGCGCTATTGATGTATTAAGTTTGGTATCCTTTTATTACTACATTTTAAGTTTTTAGAAACTTTAACATTTCTTTCCTGGAAGAAATACTAATATATAATTACTATGATAATGAATTTCTTTTATATAATATATCAATACTTTCAAATCACATAATAGGGTTATTTGTAGTGGTAAAATCCCTGGATTATTCAGCAGAAAGTAAAGAAAGTTGGTGTAAATGGAAATTTTAAAAAAGTTTTTGGTGTCCTGGCTGGTATGGCTCAGTGGTTGAATACCAGCCTGCGAATCAAAGGGTCACTGGTTCAAATCCCAGTTTAGGGCACATGCCTGAGTTGGGGGCCAGGTCCCAGTAGGGGACATCTAAGAGGCAACCACACATGGCTGTTTCTCTCCCTCTCTTTTTCCCTCCTTTCCCCTTTGTCTAAAAATAAATAAACAAAATCTTTAAAAAAATTTCTGGCTACCCGTTTTATCTGGTTGGATGGCTTGCTTACATACAGATCAGAAGTCAGTAATAACATCTTTTCCACAACTACTCCATTCTGCTGTTATAGCAGGAAAGCAGCTGTAGGCAACATAGTAGTATCCCCTTTTCTGGTTTCACTTCCTGCGATTTCAGTTACCTGCGGTCAGCCATGGTCTGAAAATATTAAATAGAAAATTCTGGAAATAAATAATTTATATTTTTCAAATTGTGTGCCATGGTGAGTTGCGCCATGTGCTGCAGTCTTGTGTCGCCCACCCCGTGCTGTCCAGGGTGTGACTCACCCCTTGTCCAGTGTTTCCATGCTGTGCCTGCGGTGCAGTAAATTATTTCGTGAGACCATACTCACATAACTTTTATTACAGCATATTGTTATAATTGTTTTATGTTATTAGTTACTGTTAATCTCTCACTGTGCGAATTTACAAACTGAACTTTATCATGGGTAAGTATGTGTGGGGAAAAAACAGAGTACATATAGGGTTCGATACTCCCTGCGGTTTCCAGCATCCTCTGGGGTCTTGGAACGCATTTCCTGTGGACAAGTGAGTACTCCTGTACATGAACAAATGGCAAAGCTGTGCCCCACTGAAACTTTGCCTCAGAGAAGCAGCAGCTGTGTATTGCCTGCAGGCTGTCGTTTACTGACCTCCAGATTAGAATATAAAGTGAAATAGAGCTCCTTCCCTATTATTTGTCAGATGTTTTGGTTACTTTTCTTAAAATCTCTTCTTTCTAACTTAAGGCTGTAATTCGTACTTTTGTCCTTTTTAATTTCACCTTTTATTAATTTTATTCACACTCGTGCTGCTGTACTTTAATACCTTCAACAACTTTTCCAGGCTCTTTAATATCCTCACACAGCTTCCCAACCTGTTGTGGAGACCCCCACATTAAATTATTCTCACGTGTACTGAGTGTCAGGAGTGAGTGGTGTTAAAGAAGTGGAAGTGCTGGACAAAAAGAAAGGCTAGACTCCCATAGGTTTGAGTGGTCTTGCAAGACTTATTAAAGGAGGCAGGACTTGACCTGACTCTTGAAAGACTGGAAGAAAATTAAATATTTTAAAAAAGAAACAATAAAAAAACTTAAAAAGGAAGGAAATGTTGTCATTTGCTTCAACACGAGTGGACCTTGAGGGTATAATGCTAAAGGAAATAAGAGAGAGAAAAAAATACTATATGACCTCAATTATATGCGGAATCTAAAAAAAAAAAAAAGCCCCAACAGATAGGCGAATGAAAATCCTGAGTTCATAGTGTGGAGAACAGACTAGTAGTTGCCAGAGGCAGGCGAGATGGGTGGAGGTGGTCAGGACGTACAGACTTCTCGTTGTAAAGGAAAACATCGTGGGGATGTAATGGACAGCACGGTGACTATTGTTAACAGTACTGTATTGTATATTTGAAAGTTGCTAAGAGATTAAATCTTAAAATTCTCATCACATAAAAAATTAAAAAATAAATACAAGATGGAAATGTTTCAGTAAATTACTGACAAGGAGACGCTCACATTGCTTCCCTCCCGCATTTCATCCCCAGTTAGATGGAGTCCCACCAGGGACTGATCCTTTTCAGGATCATTACCTCGAGCAAAAGTGCTAACAGCGGGACTTGTTTTTCTGTGGAGATTCTGTCTTTTGGGGTATCTCTTTTCCTTCCATGTGCTTACTGAGGTTTGTAGGAGACACGGACCTACCCTGAGGAGGTCTGAGACCTGTGACTGTGACCAGCTCTGCTCCAGGCATTCTGTCCAGTGGACTTCTGTTGGGTGGGCTGGCTGGCATGTTTTTTCTTGGTGTCCCAGTCCTAGGACCCTGGGGAAGGGAGTAGCAGGCTCTGCTGGATTTACAAATATATAAAGGAAAGGAGTCCTCCGTGGGGTCCTGTGTTAGCTCATTAGGGACGTAACTTGGGATTTGGAAGGAATTAAGGTAATTAAAAAAATAGACTATAAGTAATGATTTATTTCCCTTCTGTGCATCTATTTTCCTGTGGACCTTGGAGGACAAAGGTAGCTATGTTAAGAAAGGTTGGGGCCTTTACACCTTTGCTATAAGCAGATGTTATAAAATAGTCGTAGCAGACCCAGCTATAGCAGACTAAGGGAGGATATGGCAGGAGAACTGGGTCTGCAAAACGAAGCCCTGTGTGGAGAGAGTGAAGTCCCCTTGTAGGTGAGGCCCCCATTGTGTCTTCTTTCCAAAAGTGCAGCTGTAGGCGCAGCAGGTGACAGCCCAGATGTAGCAGTAGGATCTAGAGCTGCCAGGATGGTGTGAGGAGCCAGGTAGTCTCTCTTAATTGCCCCAGGTTACATAAACAAGTTCTTTGCAAAAATGACAGTACTTCTGCATCTTAAATGGCAGTGTCTGCTGTTTGCTACTGAAACTCAAAGTAAGATCACATTAAAACAAGCAAAGTTTTAGGACAAGCAGTTCTAGGACACTGCTTTTTTGCATCTGGATTGTTGGATTGTATAGCGCTCACTTCTTTTTACTTTAGAAGAAGGTGGGCACGTCTTGAAGCCTTAAGTAATAGTCATGAACAGTGCACTGTTGGGCCAGTGTGTGATGGAAGGTGTTCGGGAACATAGAAGAATGGGAGTGCTGCTATAAAGGGAACGTGTCATTTGGAATTAAGGTTGGGAAGATCTCAACGGAATCATTAAAACCCAAGGACTAAAATGAAGATGAAGACCTGTGCCCAGAACACTCTGGCTGTAGGGAAGCTCTTTGCTTGGAGGCAGAGGGAAAGTGAGGCAGTGAGTCAAACTACAACACTTGATATACGAGCAGAAAAATACTTATTGGAAGCTTTAAGACCACTTGGGAGAGAAGAGGATCAACTTTAAAAGCCACAGAGGAATTAGAAAAGGAAATTTCTAAATTTAAAATGTTGTTGATTCATAAAATAAATGATATTAAACCAGTGAAAGAGGCCTTTGGGAATTCTCAGGGTGTAGAGCTTACACGCATGCAAAGTCTCCCCAGCTCTAGGACGCCTGTGCAGGGCAGAGACTTTTCTGTGAGGGTTTCTCCAGGTCCCCACCGCCGCCCCCGGGAAGCCAGACTCCTTTCTCCGAGGTCAGGTGGCCTCCTTTCTTTGTCTCTCTCCTCCTCACTGTTTTATTTGTAGTAAAACATTCTTAATTTTGAATGCTTTAAAATCCTAATTAAAAAGTCTTCAAGTGTACATTTTAAGATTGTTACAAGGTAACGGTTTGCTAAGTGAATCATTCTAGGAGTTCAGAAATGATACATGGTGTTTCAGTATTGCTTATCAGTCAATATTAAGTGTGTAGAAAAATATCAATTCAAATGAAAGAATTAACTTCCAGGTTGGAAAAATAAATAAATAAAAGTGAGATAAGCAAAAAATTTAAAAAGAGTAATGTTAACTGAATTTTTCTCCTTCTTTAAAACCATGCAGGTCATATATGCTTTGAACACTAAAAACGATGAGCATGAATCTGCAATTCAAGCCCTCAAAGATGCTCACGAAGAAGAAATCCAACAAATTCTTGCAGACACAAGGGAAAAAATATTACAATATAAAAGCAGAGTAACAGAGGAGTTAGACCTTAAGAGAAAGATTCAGGTTCTAGAAGCCTCGTTAGAAGACCACAAGAAAATGAAGCAGCAGGCTTTGTCAGAGTTTGAAGCCTACAAGCACAGAGTCGAGGACATGCAGCTTTGTGCCGAAGCGCAACATGTCCAACGCATAGTGACCATGTCGAGAGAGGTTGAAGAGATCAGAAGGAAGTTTGAGGAAAAATTACGGAGTTTTGGACAACTGCAAGTACAGTTTGAAAAAGACAAAAGGCTGGCGCTGGAAGATTTGAGGACGGCTCACAAACGGGAGGTCCAGGAGCTGTTGAAGTCCCAGCAGGATCAGAGCGCCTGTGTGCACAAGGGGCAGAAAACAGAGGAACTGCACAGAGTGGAGGTGGAGGCCTTAAACAAAACCCTGGAGGAGCTACGACTTGAGCGAAAAAAGCTAATTGAGGATTATGAGGGCAAGTTGAATAAAGCTCAGTCCTTTTATGAACATGAGCTGGATACTTTGAAGAGATCACAGCTTTTTACAGCGGAAAGCCTACAGGCTAGCAAAGAAAAGGAAGCTGATCTTAGAAAGGAATTTCAGGCACAAGAAGCAATTTTACGAAAAACCATAGGGAAATTGAAGACAGAGTTACAGATGGTTCAGGATGAAGCTGGAAGTCTCCGTGACAAATGCCAAAAGCTTCAGGTAGCCCTCGTTACGGCAGAGAGCAATGTTCAGGTGAGTAAAGAATATTACATCCAACACATGGATTTCTTTTTCCCATTTTCCTCTTTTTAATGAAACCACTTTAACTATTTTTTTCTCCATTTAGCTTTTTTTGTACTCCTTTGTGGAAAATCAGTGAAGGGGTATTTTTTTGCTACTCTTTAGTTATTGCTATTTTCTACTAGAATTTTAGGCTCAAAAGGCCTGAAAAGATATTAAAGGCCTCCAAAATTGCTTAAAATCTCGCTGAGTGTTTTCTATGAAAGGGTTTTATTTAAATAACATGTTAATAATTTCCATAAGCACTTTGGGAGAATTAAAATACTGGACTTTGGATTTACTTATGTGTTTTCTTTTCCCTTCATTAAAATGGTTTTAAGAGTTACCTATCAAAAGAGATTTGAAACTAGGCCTTGTTACGTGTGACCTTTGAATAAGAAATTTTTGATGCTTATAATTTAATTATTTAGCTTAGCATCATTCTTGCATGTTAGTAATGGCTATTTGGTCTTTCTTAGGGTCTTCAAAAACAGCTTGATGATGCCAAGGAGGGAGAGATGGCCTTACTAAGCAAGCACAAGGAGGTGGAAAGCGAGCTAGCGGCAGCCAGAGAGCGTTTGCTGCAGCAGGCCTCGGACCTTGTCCTCAAAGCCAGTACGTCTGATGTAGATCTCGGCGCATCCCTCAGCTACAACCAGCACTTAAGCGTTAATTCATGACAAATTAGTCTTTTCTAACAGTCGAAGATTATTTAGACTCAAGTGTGTTAAAGGATTCTAATGTCTTACTCACTAATCATAAATAGGGAAATGATAACTTATTTTTAGAAATGTTTTTATAGAAAAATTAAGAGTTAGCAGTTATTGAAACACCAGTAAGCCAGTCACTGAAATAAAAATGCACTCTAAGAGGCTCTGCCTATTAAAAACATGCATTGTAAAGTATGTAAATTAGTGGAACGATATATACATTAGAACACCCTTGTTTCATTTGGCTTATTAATGAGGATTACTTTATATACCAAAGCTGAGTTGCCTGTCCTGATACGGTTGTCCTGCTAATTTCCTAGTTCTTACTAGAGGGTGTGGGTGACCATGCTGGGTCTGAAGTTATGTTTTGCCTAAGGGTTTACTGGCCAGGGGAAGCCATTTGAACTAGTTCTTTGAGGATGTCAGCTGATTTGATGGTTCATCAGTGAATCCAAAATATTCCCTAAAGTAATATTTTTTTCCACCCGAGCATGTATGAGAATCGCCAGGAAGGCATGCACAACCACAGACGCTGGGGTGTAGCCCCAGAGTCTCTGGTTCAGTAGGTCTTGGGTGAGTGTCATTCCGAACTAGAGATCCCAGGTGCTGCTGTTGTGTGGGGGCTTTGAGAGCTGCCCTAGCACTTGCTTTTTCATACCTTTATCTCACACTACTTTAAAAAATTACTAAATTTATTGGGGTGATATTGGTTAATAACATTACATAAGTTTTAAGTGTGTAGTTCTGTAATACATCACCTGACTATTGCATTGTGTGCTCACAACCCAAAGTCTGCCTCTGTCGCCATGTATTTGACCCCCTTTACCCTCTTCTCCCTCTCCTCCACCTCCTCCCCTTCTGGGAACCACCATACTGTTGTCTGTGTCTGCGAGTTTGTTTAATCAGTACCTTTCTAACAAGCTGTGTGCAAATTGTGCTCAAACAGTCACACTCGCTTTTCATCTTTCTCTTCATTCCCTATCTCCTTTTTAAGAATTTGCTGTTGTTATTTTTTCATAACGTTGCTGGCCTTATCTTTTACTCTGCTTTAGTTCTTTAGCAGGTCTCTTGTCTCAAACCAGTTCAGTTTCCACCAAACTGCTGCTTGCCACCTTCACTCCCTGCATGCAGATTTCTTCCTTTCTATGGTAGAATTTGAAAAGAGATTAGAAAAAAACAAATTCCTCATTTTGGTGCCATCATATTAGTCAGTGCATCCTCATTCACTTTGATTTACTCCTAATACTTTTATTTGCACCCCGAGGGGATGCTTCTGCTTCAGCTTGTATAGCTTGAAATCTAGAAAATAAGTTGCATGGTCTCGGGTGCAGGGAGCAACATCAGCGCACTTCTTTCTAATTGAAGTTATTCTACTTGGTACGAAGTATTCCCGTGATAAATATTTCCATTTTACACAGTAGAGAAATCAAAGAACTATTTGTACATGCAGACCTTTTATTTCACTTAGGTATTAAGTACAATTTAAGTACAATTGTGTTGATAAATATAGACTGTTTTATCTCAACAGTGCAACAGATTTTAAATTGGAGGGGTTTTTCTTTTGGGGGAGTAGGTCATATTGGAATGCTTCAAGCAACTCAAATGACCCAGGAAGTTACAATTAAAGATCTAGAATCAGAAAAATCAAGGGCCAATGAGAGATTGTCTCAGCTTGAAGAAGAAAGAGCTTTTTTGCAAAGCAAAACTCAGAGTCTGGATGAAGAGCAGAAACAGCAGATTCTGGAACTGGAGAAGGTAAAAATGGATGGAGGATCCCTCCCCCTCCAAGAAAGGAGAGGAAGAAAAGTTCGGTTTTTCTCTTTTCAGTCTATTACTTAACCCTGGTTGTTTTTGTATTAGGAAAAAAGGTATATAAATCTGACCTATCACATTTTGTATATATGTTCAATGTATTGTCAGTAACTATTTATAGTGTAAAAACTTAAGGCAGTTCAACCTATTTCAAATTGAATAAACTCCTGTTTGAGTGGACTGTACATTTGTGATTAATTGTATTTGGTTTCTTATGGATGAAATGTATTATCATATATATATATATATGAAACTTCTACAAAACCAAAAAGGATAACAAACCTCAAGTTCTGAAAATTCATTTGCCAGCATATTGAATTTCTAGATTAAACAAGTAAGACATAGCATTCATAGAGTAATTCTGAATATCTATTCCAATTTTTCAGATATCTGCAATACCAAGTGGGAGTTCTGGACACTCTTTCTCCTTCCCTCAGCAACCAAGCATACTGAAAAGTGTCTGTTCTCCTTGCCCCTTGCTCACCTCCCATTCAGTCCTTGCTCGGGTGCAGTCTGGTTTCTCTTACCACCACTCCACAGACTCGGCGTTTGCCTCAGCCTCCAGTGACATCCTGGTTACTGGATTTGGCGGATCTTGTGTTACTGTGGTACTTACTCTGTTCCTCTCTGACTTACATTGTCCTCTTGTGGTATTTCACATTCTTTCACCTTTTCCTCCTATCTCCTGCTCTTGCAGGCTTGTTTGTGAGCTTCCCTCCTCCATTTGTTCCCTTACCATTGATGTTCCCCATCATTTTCATCTCATTCCACATGTTCATTGATTTCAGTCGCATCAGCTGTCACCTGTTCAGTGGTATCTCCCAAATCTGTTGGTCTAGACCAGATCTTTTCCCTGAACTTGAATTCTGTGTATCTAACACCCACTACATCTCACAAACATCAAATCAGCATGCCTAGAACTTTGTCCCCTCAATAGGACAAATAGCACTACAATCTCTCTGATTTGGTAAATCAGAACCCTGGGAGTCATTCCTGATTACTATTTCCTTATCTGTTACAAGTCGCATTGGGTCCACTTCCCTAATGTATTTTTATTCCGTCCTCTCCTCCTCATTACCCATTCACAGATGCTAGATTTAGGCACCTGTCCTTTCTTGCCTGGATCATGATTACAACCTCCTAACTGCTCTCCTTGCCTTGAGTCAGCTCACCAGCCTACTGCCAAGATGACTGGTTTTTAAAATGTCATTTAATTAAATTTCAGGGATTTCTCATTCCTGTCAGAATATTATCCAGAGTTCTTAGCATAAAAGACCCCCTATCATTTGACTCCTGCCTCTGTCATTTGATTCCTGACCGCTCCCAGCCTTGTATTGTATGTTCTATCCACACCTAAACTTCGCCACCTGGTTAAACACCTCTCATCTTTCAAAATGCTGTACCTGGCTATGAATGCCAGCTTTTGACACCTGATCTATGTTTGAAAATTTCTCGTCTCTAGTTTCCTGATGGGCCTATATAAGAATTTAAATGGCAGAACATGTCACCATCATCAGCTCAGAAGTTTTCTCTTCTGAAAAGCCTTCCTGATCTCTCTCTTTCTCTCTCTCTCTCTCTCTGCCTTTCTACCCCTTCTGTTCCCCTCTGTCCTCTCCTTCTTCCCCCTTCCTCCCCCTTCCTCTTTCCCACCCTGTCCAGATTAGGCTCCTTTCCTATACTCTCACAACATGCTGTGCACACTTCTTTCATAGAGCTTACACAATTATATTGCCACTGTTTCACTTTTTTGCCATTAGATTGTGAATGCTTAAAAGGCATTGGAACTCAATAAAATTGTATTGAGTAATATCATTCGAGTGGGTAAGTTGGTAAGCCATTTTAGTATAGTTTTGACATATAGGAAGCCTTTCTCTCTTCTGTTTGTAGATGTGCTAATTCACTTTTAGTTCTAACCTAATAATATTCTGTTTTATCACTTGCTTTAAAATTATTTATTTGCCTGCACCACCCTGTCATTTTCTGAAGCACCAGTGATGTATTATTTTCATGTTCCATAGTCTAAATCTCGTGGCACTCAGTTCAATCAAGTTTATGTATTCAAAATACTAATAGTACTAATGAAAAAAGCAGGTGCCAGTTATTGATCTTCATTTGTTTTAATTTTAGAAAGTAAATGAAGCAAAGAAAACTCAGCAAGAATATTATGAGTTGGAGCTAAAAAACCTGCAAAATAGATTGGAAGGGGAGGTGGCTCAATTAAATGAGGCCCATTCTAAAACTTTGGAAGAATTGGCTTGGAAGCACCACATGGCAATTGAGGCTGTCCACAGCAATGCAGTTAGGGATAAGAAAAAACTGCAAATGGTAAGTAAAAATGCAATTTAGGATTGCATTTAAATTGGTGGAGTTCCTCCTGTAATGATCCAGTATAACCTAATTGTGGAGTAATGAGTTGCTTCATTTTGATGGCCGCTGTCTTGTGATCACTCCATAAATCTTGGTTCAAAGAGAAATGTACATAGAAGCTCTTGATATGAGATGTAGTTTGTTAGGCTGAATGAGGTATTTCCATTTTGTGTAAGCCATAATAGGAACACTCCCTCGTTCTTGGCTGTCTGTTCATGTGACAGCAACATAGGTCTGCTCCTCCGGAAGCCTCAGGTAGATGAAGTGCTGACTCTCTTATCTGCAGTTTTCTTCCCTGGGAAGAGGATTTGTTTTGTTTCTGCTCAATTAAATCATCAACTTCTGATAGTAATACAATGACAATATCACATAGTAGAAAAAGCAAGGTGTCTGACAGATTTTGGGTCTTAACACTGAGCCTCTTTGCTTCCTAACTGCTTAATCTTGGGCCCCAATGCTATTATGCTTTGGGCTCCTCATCTGACAGACAAAGATAAGACCCATCTTATAATGTTCCTGAGATGGTTAAGTGAGATAAAGTGTTAAGAACCCAGACATGTCCTGGCATGTAGTGATAAATAAATATTAAGTATTAGTATTTCTCACTGTGTGCCAGACACTGAAATGATGTTTTGCATTTAATCTCTTTTTCATTTAATCCTTGTAACACTGCAATACCCATTTTACAGAAGAGGAGATGGGGGCACAGAGAGGTTAAATGCTTGCTCAGGCTCATGCAACAAGGAAGAATCAGTCAGACCTTCAACTCAGATCTCAGGTATCAGATCCTGAGGCATTTAACCGCCACATCACGTCTTGGGGACTCCCGACAAAGAACCCTAATTTTTACTCTTCCAACCTTACTTCTCTAAAGTATTAAACTACTAGGAATATACCGTGCTCTTTTGTGCCTCCGTGGGTTGTTGGACATGCTTTTCCTTCTACCTAGAACTTTATATTTCCCTCTTGCTTGGTGCACTCCTTCGGAATGTACTTAGGAATTGCTTCTCTATGAAGGTTTCCCCACTAAGCGAGAACTTACCTACATCACATTTTAATTGCATATCCTTTAATTGCTTGATACCATGAGCTTATTAAAAACAGGCACCATGTCTTATTGCATTTGTATCACAGGTATTAAATACATGCCTGGCAAATAGGTGTTCTTGAGGAAGTATCAGTTTTACTGGTATTGCTCTTCAGATGTCTCGATTCTATACTCATTAATTCTTCACTATATTCCAGTTGAGCACTGAGTTCAAGAATGTTACTGAACTTTTTTCAAAATGTAAATAAAAAAGAATTATGAATTTAAAAGACAGAATTTTTTCTTTATCTCATCAAATTATCATTTATATTACATACTTCTGGTTTTTTGACTGCAACTTTATCTAGACACATTTGTTTGTATTTGTTATTCTATTACAGTTGTCCCAGTTTTGCCCCTTTGCCCTCCTCTGTCCAGCCCACCCACTGCTCCCACAGTCAAACCCCACACCATTGTCCATGTCCGTGGGTCATTCCTGTATGTTCTTTGACTAGACCCTTCCCTTTCTTTCTATCATTGTCCCCATCCCCCCTCTGCTGCTGTCAGTTCGTTCCATGTTTTCATGCTTCTGGTTCTATTTTCCTTGTTAGTATATTTTCTTCATTAGATTCCTCTTATAACTGAAATCATATAGTATTTGTCTTTCACTCATTGGCTTATTTCACTTAGCATAATAGTCTCCAGTTCAAACTATGCTATCACAAAAGGTAGGAATTCTTCTTTCTGCTGCATAGTGTTCCATTGTATAAATGTACTACAGTCTTTTGATCCACCATCTACTGGTGGGCACACAGATGGTTGTAAATAGCATTGCTATGAACGCTGGGGTGTGTAAGTTCTTTTGAGTTTATTAGGACTCTTAGGGTATATTCCCAGCAGTGGAATCACTGGGTCAAAAGACAGTTCCATTTTTAATTTTTTGAGGAAATTCCATACTCTTTTCCAAAGTGGCTACACCAGTCTGCATTCCCACCAACAATGCACTAGGGCTCTCTTTTCTCCACATCCTCACCGGCGCTTGTTGTTTGTTGATTTATTAATGGTAACCATTCTGACAGGTGTGAGGTGGTAGCTCATTATGGTTTTATTTGTGTGTCTGTGATGGCTAGTGATGTTGAGCATTTTTTCATATGTCTGTGAGCCCTCTGTATGTCCTCCTTGGAAAAGTGTCTGTTCAGGTTCTTTGCACATTTTTAATTGCTTTATTTGTTTCTTGCTATTGAGTTGTATGAGTTCTTTATATATTTTAGAGATTAAACCCTTGTCTGATGTGTCATAGGCAAATATGTTCTCCTCTGCAGTGGGTTCCCTTTTCTTCTTGATGATGGTTTCTTTAGCTGTACAGAAGCTTTTAAATTTGATATAGTCCCATTTGTCTATTTTTTCACTTATTTCCCTCACCCTAAGAGGTATACCAGCAAATATATTGTTATGTTGAATATCTGAAATTTTACTGCCTGTGTCTTCCACTAGGACTTTCATGGTATCATGACTTATATTTAAGTCTTTTATCCATTTTGAATTTATTCTGGTGTATGGTGTAGGTTGGTAGTCTAGATTTGTTTTTTTTGCATGTACCAGTCCAGTTCAAGAGACTATTTTTACTCCATTGTATGCTCATGCTACCTTTGTCAAATATTAATTGACCATAGAGACATGGATTTATTTCTGGGCTCTCTATTCTGTTCCGTTGATCTATGTGTCTATTCTTGTGTCAGTACCATGCTGTTTTGATTACAGTGGTCTTGTAGTATAGTTTTAGGTATTGTGATCCCTCTAACTTTGTTCTTCATTCTCAAGATTACTGAGGCTATTTGGGGTCTTTTTTGGTTCTATGTAAATTTTTGGAATATTTGCTGTATATCAATAAAATATGCCATTGGTATTTTAATAGGAATTATGTTGAACCTATAGATTGCTTTGGATAGTATGGACATTTTAATGATGTTAATTCTTCTAATCCATGAGCATTGTGTATGTCTCCATTTATTTGTATCTTACTCAGTTTTTTTCTTCAGTGTTCTCTAGTTTTCCGAGTACAAGTCTTTTACCACCTTAGTTAAACTTATGCCTAGTTATTTTTCTTGTTGCTGTAGTAAATGGGATTTTTCCCTCTAGTCTTTTGTTTCTTATAGTTCATTGTTGGTGTGCAAACATGCTATCAATTTCTGAATATTGACTTCGTATCCTGCTATTTTGCCAAATTGACTTACTAGGTTGAGTAGTTTTTTGTTGGAGACTACAGGGTTTTCTATGTACATTATCATGTCATCTGCAAATAATGACAGTTTTACTTCTTTCCAGTTAGGGTACCTTTTATTTCTTTTTCTTGTCTGATCGCTGTGCTAGAACTTCTAGTACTATATTGAGAAAGAGTGGTGAAAGTGGACATTCTTGTCTTATTCCTGATCTTAAGAGAAAAGCTTTTAGTTTTTGTCCATTGAGTATGATGTTGGCAGTAGGATTCTCGTGTATGGTTTTTATTATGTTGAGGTGTGCTCCCTCTACTCCCACTTTGCTGAGTGTTTTTTGTTATAAATGGGTGCAGGATTTTACCAAGTGCTTTTCTACATCTACTGATATGATCATGTGGTTTTTGCCCTTCATATTGTTTATGTGGTGTATTACACATACTGATTTGCAAATATTGTATCATCCTGGCATCCCTGGGATATATCCCACTTGATCATGGGATCTATATCCCAAAGATCATGTATGATCTTTGTAACGTATTGCTGGATGCAGTTTGCCAATATTTTGTTGAGGATTTTAGCATCTGTGTTCATCAGAGATATTGCCCTGTGATTTTCTTTCTTTGTTATGTCTTTATCTGGTTTTGGAATTAGGATAATACTGGCCTCGTAAATACAGATTGGGAGTCTTCACTCTTCTTGAAATTTTTGGAATATTTTGAGAAGGATAGGAGTTAGCTCTTCCATAGATGTTTGGTAAAATTCTCCTGTGAAGCCGCCTGGTCCAGGGCTTTTGTGTGCCAGGAGTTTTTTGGTTACTGCTTCAATTTCACTAGTTGTTATTGGTCTATTCAGGCTTCCTGCTGCTTCTTGATTAGTTTTGGAAGGTTATACATTTTTAGAAATTTATCCACTTCACCCAGGTTGTCCAATTTCTGGCATATAGTTGTTCATAGTAATTTCTTATTATCCTTTGCATTTCTGTGGTATTAGTTGTTACTTTTCTTTTATTTCTGATTTTATTATTTGGGTCCTCTCTATTTTTTGCTTGATGAGTCTGGTCAAAGGTTTGTCAATTTTGTTTATCTTTTTGAAGAACCAACTCCTATGTTCATTGATCCTTTGAATTGTTTTTTTTAGTCTTTATGTTATTTAACTCTGCTCTGATCTTGATTATTTCCTTCTGTCTACTCGTTCTGGGGTTTGTTGTTGTCATTCCTCTAGTTTTTTAGATGTAGGGTTAGGTTGTTTACTTGGAACTTTTCTGTCTTCCTTAGGGTAGGCATGTTTGCTTTGAACTTCCCTCTCAGGACTGCCTTTGCTGTGTCACATAGGTTTTGGACTGTTGTCTGTTCATTTTCATTTGTTCCCAGGTATTTTTTGATTTCTTCCTTGATCTCATTGTTGACCCATTCATTATTTAATTACATGTTATTCAGTCTTCATATATTTGAATGTTTTTGAGTTTTTTCCTTAAGGTTAGTTTCTAGTTTCAAGCCATTGTGATCCCAGAAGATGTTTGATATGATTTCAGTTTTCTTGAATTTGTTGAGGCTTGTTTTGTGTCCTACCGTGTTGTGTATCTTTGAAGACCCATGTGCATTTGAAAGGAATGTGTATTTTGCTTCTTTGGTGTGAAATGCTCTGTAAATATCAATTAACTCCATTTGATATAGGGTATCATTCAGTGCCACAGTATCCTTGTTGATTAGACAAAATATTCTTACCATTGAAAACATTTGACTGCTGTATCATTAATTATTCAGAATGATAACACTTAAGTTTCTCAGATTAATTAGATTTACTATTAACTTTGATACTATTAATTATGGGTAAGGTTAATTTGGAGAATAAATTGCCAAATATAAACGGAATAGTCTTTTTCTTAGAGCCTATGAAGTATACAATATTTGAAATTTAATTTTTTAAACATTCTTCTTCTTAAGGAATTGGAGGAACAATATAAAAAGGAGAAACTAAATCTGGAAGAAGATAAAAGTCAGCTTCAACAAGAGCTAGAAAACCTGAAGAGAGAACTGGAAGACAAGCTGAATACAGCCAATCAAGAGGCAAGAACTCCTTAGGCCTATCACCTATGTTATGTTTTAGAGATAAAGTCTTACCTGATAATATTATGTAAGTAGGTGAGCCTCAGTGAAAGTAATAACTAGAGTAAAGTAATCAAAAAATAATGCTGAATTATTCACAGTACCAGGTTGTATCTCACCAGGAAAAAATTTACTACCAGAAACGTGAGAACCAAGGTGCTGTTGGAAGGAAAACAAAACAAAGGAGAATATCACTGTATAGGAAAGAAAAGATGCAAAACATTGACCTAATGTTCTTTACTGTCTCCATTTAAAAAAGACTTTCTATGTTCTAGATAGTGACATCTAAAGTAACCTTAAAATTGTATATGAAATTAGTATTATCCTAGAAAAGTCTAAGAATAAAATATAAGACAATGTTATAAATCAAAAAGTTGTAAAAAATAAATGTAAAGAAAAATTTAAATCATAATATCTATATTTCTTCCCATTCTCCCTTAATTGCCCTGTGCCAGCTGTACCCTAGCACTGCCTCGTAATATTGTCCTCTTTTCCTTTTGCAGTTCACCCTTCCTGCGGTTTCCTGCAACAAGTTCTTGTCTTGACACTTCTTGTTAGCTGTACCTACCTGACTAGAGTCTTCTTCCCCAGCTATCTTTAAGTCCTGCTTTCTTGTCACTCTGTTCATGCTTACAGTAACCACACGGAAATATACACACAAGTGCCCATGGGCAGGCAAATAATTTGTACTCAGTATTTAATTGCACAAGTATTTAAACATTTGTCCAGAGAAGGTATCATGTGGGAATTGGTATTATCAGTACAGCCTCCCTTCTGTTGTCCCAGTTAATCCCCCATGGGCTGCACATTTGCACACGTCTCCTGGCAGAGCACAGTCTTTGTAATTATGGTGTTCTGTCCTCATTAGAAAGCAGTTTAGTTACAATCGTGTTTCTCATAAAGATCCCTTGGACTTCTCTCAGTTCTAAACGGCTTTTAAGTATTCTTCAAGTGTATATACTCTAATCTCACTGAAAAGAGTTCTAATAAATTTGTAATTGATTTTCCTTCTTAATGCATTTGCAGTTCTATTTTAGCATTCTGACAGTGTTTTGATGCCATGTTGGAATGGCTCCCCAAGAATATGCTGGCCTATTTCTCCATGTGCACCTACCTGCCTTTTCTTCAGCTTGGGACATCTTTTTGTTGTTGTTTGTTTTTCTTTCCTGACTAGGCTCTCCAGCAATAATAAGCATTCTTTTATTTTTTTTAATTTTATTTATTTATTTTTAGAGAGAAGGGAAGGGAGGGGAAAAGGGAGAGAAACAGCAATGTGTGCTTGCCTCTCGCATGCCTCCTACTGGGGACCTGGTCAGCAACCCAGGCATGTGGCCTGACTGGGAATCGAACCGATGACCCTTTGGTTTGCAGGCTGGCACTCAGTCCACTGAGCCACACCAGCCAATGTAGCATTCTTGTTTTGTTTCCTGCTCTTAAAAAAGAACATCAGCCCTGGCTGGCATAGCTCAGTGGATTGAGCGCGGGCTGGGAACCAAAGTGTCCCAGGTTCAATTCCCAGCCAGGGTACATGCCTGGGTTGCAGGCCATGACCCCCAGCAGCCGCACATTGATGTTTCTCTCTCTCTCTCTTTCTCTCTATCTCCCTCCCTTCCCTCTCTAAAAATAAATAAATAAAATCTTAAAAAAAAAAGAATATCAACATTTCACAGTTAATTTTATGATGCTTCTTTAAAGCTTTGTTTTGTAAATGATCTTTATCAGGTTTAGAAAATTCTCTTGTAATTCTAGTTTCTTAATTTAAAAGATATCACAAATTGATGTTGATTTTTCTGCATATATTGAGATTATATTTTTTTCTTTAATTTCTTAATGTGGTACCTTACATTAATCAATTTTCTAATATTATACCAGTGTTGGATTTCTAGAATAAATCCTAATTAGCCATGAAATATATCCTTTTATATTATAATACATTGAGTTTGCTAATATTAATTTTAGGATTTTTGAGCCTAGGTTTGAGTAACATTGTACTTTTTCTTCTTTACAACATCCTTTTCTGGTTTTGGAATCAAGTATTACTAGCCTCATAAAATGAATTAGGTCTTATTCACTTTTCTCTCTGAAAGAGTTGAGTGAGATTGAAATGCTTTTTAAATCTTAAATGCTCTGTGGTTAGAAATCGGACAAAAACAATTTTTGAAACTTCTTAAGGCTGCTCACCTTGTGCCCCAGCACACGAAGGAACCGTGCTGCTCCAGGTACGTCCAGTTTAATATGCCACAGTCTGTGTGCCTGTTCATTAAACCAGGATTTCGAGGTGTTCACTTAAAAAATTCTTCCTTCTTTTTGACTTTTATCTTCTCGATCAATTTCTAAAACTGATACTATGGTGGTAGATTTGTTTATTTCACTTTATATTCTGTCAATTTTGTCAATTCTGTCACCTTTACCATAGCTGCTTGAACATTTTCTTTGTTGAGTATTTACTATTTTAAATTTTTTAATTATGGATAGTGGTCAATTTAAGGAGGTTTCCTCTTATTTAAGTAAAAGGATTATCATGCAAAGACCCTGGCCAGGGTTGCAAGTTAGGGTTTTCCAAAGGCCAGCCTTTTGTCCTGATTACCACCAGCCAAGGCATGTTTTATGGGCCTGGAACCCTAGTTGGCCATTTCTCAACCCTGGTTATCAGAATTTTGTTTTTGCTGCTAAATGGATAAATTATCAGGTTTATAAATACTTTTGTCTTTTAAGGTTTTTTTACTTTTTGTCTAGCTGTTGCCCCAAATTAAATTACTAGACCAAAGAGTAGGAATAATTTCATAGTTCTCACTACTTATCACTAGATTGTTCTCCAGAAAAATTGGAACTAGAGTTCAGTAACACCAGTAATATTCCAATTTTTAAGATTTAGGAAACATTTATTGACCTCATGTCTCCTAGGTGGTAGGGATACTTTGACAAAATGTCAAGGAGCTCATAATTTCAAGTGGCTTTTAAGATTCAGTGATAAATATGATATATTTTTAGAGTACAGAGGAAGATCTCTAAAAGGTTTCATAAAAGCTCTACAGAATGTGATATTGGAGAATTTAAAAATGTGATATGGAAAATGTTTTTTAAAGGAGGATATAAATATGCCAAATATAGGAATGATGAAATACAGTATGGGTGTGAGGAATAATGTAAGTACAGTCATATCAGTATGGAAGTTATAATGTCTCAGTGAATCAGTTTCAGCGCACCAGGGTGTCTCAGCATCAGCACTGCTGACAGTTTTCAGCCAGGTAATTCTTTAGGATATTTAGTAGTATCCCTGGCCTCTGCACACTAGATACCAGCAGCATGCACCCCTCTCCCCTCAAGTCATAACAACCAAAAGTGTCTCCAGACACTGTCTTTGGAGGCACAGTGGACCACAGCTGAGAACTACTATACTTGACCACAGGATGGAGATGGGGCTTGTCAAAAGATACAGTAGAAAAGAAAGTTGAAGCTAAATTGTGAGGGACACTTGTGCTGTGACAAAGACTTTGGAATTTATCTTAATGAAGAAGTGATAGCAAGAGAGTAGCAGCAACCACACAATCAGATGATTGTGGGAAGAGAGCTCTGGTGGCAGCAAGAGGATGAATTGTGTGGGAAGGGTTTGGTGGTCTGAGTTGGCTAGATGACTTAAGATGCTGTTACATTGGCCCAGGCAAGAAATGATTGGCATCCTGACTAGGGAAGTAAAACTGGAACTGGAGGGTATTATTCAAAAATAAAATTTAGGGAATTTGATATGGTGATTGATAGAAAAGTGACTCAAGTATCTAGCTCAAGTATTTGGACAGATGCTGATACTCCTATTGGAAGATAAGAATTACAGGAGGAAAAATTCATTGGAATGGCAAGACCTTGAGTTGGTTGGATATGCTAACTTTGAGGGGACTGCAAGACATCTAGGCTGGAACTAAGTGGACAGTTCAGGCTTGGCACTGAAGCTCAGACGACCCTTGAAGCCCCTGAAGTAGATCTTACCCAATAGTAACTGATGAGAAGACTGCAATAACAAAGAGGAGCACCAGTATTGGTTTCATAGGGCCAAGGAAAGAGACTGAGAAGGCGAAATCAGAAGCATGAGAACAAAGATTGGTGGATATCAGAAAACCAGGAAAGCAAATGCTACTCATAAGAGGATAGAAGTGCCTCTCAGTGTCACACAATGCTTGGCAGTCAGAGTGTGAGGCCTGAAAGGGCTGTGCAGCAGGATCTCTCGTACACCCATTCTACAGTTTCAGGAGAAAAGTAGGACAGAAGCTAGAGTTGTTAGGTCTAATTTGAGTCATAGTGGGTAAGAGGGCTCTTTTAAGACTGTGTGTGTGTGTATACTTATAGCAAAAAAGTTCCAGATGGGCAAAGGATTGAATTGTAATAGCAAATCCTGACTATGAGTATAAATAAAATATGAAAATACAGGTGACAAATCTTAAGACAATTAAGGCCTTTTGAAACATGATAGCAAAGCCATGAATTAAAAACATAGACTATTTGTACAGATTTCCATATATTAAAACACATCAAAGAAAAATTACGAGAGAGGAAAAACTAGGAGGATGGAATAAAGTGGTTGGCAAATTGCATAAGTAACAAAAATTCATGTCCTTAATACCTTAAGAATTTTTTAAACAGTAAGAAAAAAAAGACACATTTTTAGTGGGCTAAAAAAATAAAAATAATTTAAGATCACGACAGTTTCAAAACTGGAAATTAAATCAGTGAGATGTTGTTTTCATTACCATCAAATTAATAATGATTAAAAAATTACATGAGGCCAAGTAGTGTTGATGAGGGTAAAGAAATAAGCACTTAAAAGCTACTGATGAGAATATAAAATCATACAATTTTCTGTTTTTAGATTTTATTTACTTATTTTTAGATAGAAGAGAAGAGAGGGAGAGAAACACTGAAGTGAGAGAGAAACATTGATGGGTGCCTCTTGTACACGCCCAGACGGGGACCGGGCCTGCAACCCAGGCATGTGCCCTGGCCAGGAATTGAACCTGTGACCCCTCAGGTCATAGGCAGGCGCCCTATCCACTGAGCTCCACCAGCCAGAGCACATACAATTTTCTTGGAAAGGAATTTAGCAGCATATGTAAAACCCTTAAAGATGGGCATGTCCTTTGACTCAGCAGTTTCATTTCTGTGTATTTAACCAAAGCAATTAATTTAAGGATTACTGACATAATCTCAGCACTGTTTATTGTGGAAGAAATTTTGAAACAACTTAAATTTCTGTAGAATTCTGTCTTCTAGAGGAATAGGAATCCTTTCCTAATCCACACAGAAGCATCTTTACTCTTCTTTCCATTCTCTGGGGCTGCTACCAGAGTTGAGGGGGATTGCGTACAAGGTCAAGAAAGTGAAGGCATCAAAGGTCCTTTTAGGAGTGAAATATTTACAGATTGAAATGAAAAAAGATTTAATTGTTAGTAAAATATACAAACTTTTTCGGTTATTGACTTACTTGTTTAATAAATATTGAGTGGTATTAGGTACCAAAGCACTGCATTGTACACTGTGGTTACAGTGGTGAATAAGTCAGATACGGTCTGTGCTGTATGGAGAGAGACATATGTGGAAACAAGTAATTACAAGTCTGACACATATTACAAAACAGTGATAAGTGATTAACGTGGGGCTCGCCAGAAGAATAAACCAAGGAAAACTTATACAAAGGCCCTGAAGCACAAGGGGTTTCTAGGAATTGGAGTGATGCCTGTGTAGATGGAGTGTGATAGCCACTATAATAATAATACATTTTTACTTAGTTCTTACTATGCCCCAAGCATTGTTTTATGTAGTTTTTCCTAAGTCCCCAGAATTTATGTAACTTGCCAAAGTCACGTAGTAAGTGGATAAAACCAGAATCCCAGGCAGTCTGGAGGAAGCCCTGCTGAGGCTGCGTGGACCCCAGGGAGCAGAGTGGGTTCCACAAACGACAAAGGGAGGTTTGGGTATCGGAAGACAGCAGACGTGTTCCACACGTGTTCATTTTTACTGCCTTTTAGAAAACAAACTTTAATCAGTTATGCTTATCACATTATTTGCTTATTATATTTAATTATGCATAATTTTAAAATTTTTGCCTGTTTAAACAAACATTTGTTCTGTCTCTAAAGTCTTAGTTTCTTGAATAGATCTATTTACTTATGTAGTAACTACAATACTGTTCTCTGTAAGTTTTTTTTATCTATTTCATTTGTACATGTAATTCTTATCTGAAAATTTTCTGGTTTGTGGAAGAAAACTCTCCATGTTGAGAAATTTGAGTGTTTCTTCCTTATTGGCAGTACCCAATATTTGTATGTTGCTTTCTAGTTAGAGATTTTTTTTCCCATGTATCTTTAAATTTAATTATAATAACTCTGTAAGGTAGGTATTATTGCTTCTATTTTATGGTGACCAACCCAGAACTTGAAACTAGAGTTTCTGCTAAGGTCAGTACTCTGTCAAGTCTGTTACAGCCACCTCTCCTTACATCCAGTCTTTCATCCAGTCACTGCTGTGATACACTTTTATGGCAAGCAAGATCAACACAAAAAGTAGAGAAGATACAAGTTAGCGCTATAGAATAGAGAAAGGAGTCATAAAACAATGACAGATAACATTTAAAACATGTAAATGAAATGAATACTATATATGGATAAGCCATTCATTTTAAAAATTAGGAAAAAGATATGTATATATGAAAATTTAAATTTCTAAAGTGACTCAAATTAGTTGAACAACCTAGACAACCCAGTCATAACTACAAAAGAAATTAAATAGTCCAACATGTATCTAGAGAGGGACTAGGCCCAGAGGAGTTGAATGGATGAATTTTACTAAATTTTGAAGAAACAGGTAAATCTTCGCTATGGAAGTATTTCAAAGCACAGAGAAAATGGGGAACTTCCCACCTCATTTACTGAGGTTGGTGCCCCTATGTGGATATTAACTAGGTCTAATGCTGCCATCACCAGCATTATTCAGGATAGCATATGGGGTGTTGGCGCTTGTCTGCAGGGAGAGGAGACAGGAGGGCCTCGTGCAAGCGGGAGGGAGCTGTGGATCAGAGAGGGTTGGAGGACAATGTTCATAGTTTCCTTTGTGATGTCTTTATTTACCACAAGAAATATTCAGCTGCTTTTAAATTTTACTAGTGTTCATTTTTATAGTTTTGATAGGCTTGGCAGTTATATAAAAATGAAATTTTTACTTCATGATATTTTCCTAGATAATTTAGAGTATTATTAGAGTATAGAGACAGGAGAGCACGAGGCCCTCCTGTCTCCTCTCCCTGCAGACAAGCGCCAACACCCCATATGCTATCCTGAATAATGCTGGTGATGGCAGCATTAGACCTAGTTAATATCCACATAGGGGCACCAACCTCAGTAAATGAGGTGGAAAGTTCCCCATTTTCTCTGTGCTTTGAAATACTTCCATAGCGAAGATTTACCTGTTTCTCTATTGTTATCTCTAGAGATAGTATTTCATCTATTGATTTTAGTTTTTATAATCTGAGGGTATTTGATCTGCTTATTTAACAAATTGTCTATTAGCTCCTAATTTCAAGAGTATATCAATTCAGCTATTAACAGTTGCATGAGACAAATTTTGTATGAAATCGTAAGTTACTGTAATTAATGATGCATTTAACCAGCTTATCAATATTGACCTGAGCTTATCAACTTTATAAATAGCAGAACTGGGCTCAAATGAAGTATGTGATTCAATTTTATAAATCAGTTTTAAAAAATATTTTTATCAAAAGGTACCTTTTTTTCTCAACTTCAAAAAAAGTCTTAATCTTGCTTTAATTCTTTTTTATAGGTATTTGGTAATATAATAGAACCAGCAGTTCCCTTTTTTAAACCAAGAGCTTGAGATATATGCATTTATTTCTATGGTTGTCACGAAAGGGGGAAATCATAAATAGGAAGGTCTTTTCAAAAATCAGCACTTGAAGGCCATAATGATTATTTGAGTGCTTCTTCTAAATTCATCAAGAAAGATCTGTTCAGTAAAATTACAACTAAAGAGAAGACTTTAGGAAAACAAATGAGAGGTTTTGCTAGTGGAATACAATGCAGTGTATTGAAAGTACTCTATTAACTTGCAGATTGGCCGCCTCCAAGATCTGGTGAGGAAAAGCGAACAAGGTCTGGGCTCCGCCGAAGGACTCATTGCCAGTCTCCAGGACTCCCAGGAAAGACTTCAAAGTGAGCTTGACTCGACTAAAGGCAGGCTGAAGGAGACCAAGGAGGCTCTGTTAAATGTTGAGGTAATTTCATAATCCTGCTGTAACCTAGACATCAGCAAGGTAAAAATATAATTTAGTCACTTCAAGGTTATTGTAAACATCCCATTGCATATAATTTAGTGTATTAGTTTCCTAGGGCTGCGGTAACCAAGTACCTCAAGTCTGGGTCGCTTAACACAACAGGAAGCAGTTCTGGAAGCTGAAAGTATAAATCAAGATGTTGTCAGGGCCATTCTTCCTCTTAAACCTCTAAGGGAAGATCCTTCCTTGCCTTTTGCAGCTCATAGTAGCCCAAGGCTTTCCTTGTCTTATGGCAGCATCACTTTACTCTCTTCTGTCTTCACATGCAGTCCTCCCTGTGTCCTCACATCTTGTAAGGACACCAGTCTTACTGAATGAAGGGCTCACCCTGCTCCAGTATGTCTTCATCTTAACTCACTACGTCTGTACTGGCACTGTTTCCAAATATGGTCACATTCTGAGCACTGAGGTTAGGACGTCTCCATATATTTTGGAGGCACAGTCCAACCCGTAACAACTAGTATGCAGAGTTCTTTTACTGGTATGAGTTGGGATCCTGTGTAGCAACTGAGTGATTCTCTGTGACATCCTGTTTCAGAAAGTTCTGTCCTTCCCCTTCCATTCTCATGGAGCAGAGCGAATATTTAGACTGCCTTAGGAGAGAAAAGAATCCATAAAGCAACGGGAATAATAGGGAGATCTTCTTACTTTTTCGTTCAGAGAGGTAAATTAGAGTGTGGACTCTGAAGTCATTGGATATGAATTCAGGACCCACAACTTAGTGTGTAATGTTTGGCATGTTATTTATTCTAAGCCTCAATTTCCTCATCAGATCAATGCTGGAGATGCGGGCGGCAGGGAATAATACACTTCACACCACTCTGGTAGTAATTAAATGAGATAAAACATTTATAGAACAGTGCTTAGCAAAACAGTAAGCCCACAGGAAATGTTGCCTTTTATTTAATATTTCAATTTTTTCTTTAGGTTAGAATTGATTCCACTTCAAAAGCATATAAACCACTGACTGGTGTAGCTCAGTTGCTTGGGTGTTGTCCTGCAAAGTGTAAAGTTGTTGGTTCAATTCCCAGGCACAGCACAGGCCTGGGTTGTGGGTTAGGTTCCCAGGGGGGGCATGTACGAGCGTTACTGATTAATGCTTCTGACATCGATGTTTCTCTTCCTCTCTCTCTAAAAATAAATAAATAAAATCCGAAGCAAAAAAAAAATGCATAGAAACAAGAAACTTTAGTAGATATAGCTTGTGTGTAGTGCATATATATAATTCTACTTATATCTCATCTGAGATATAATTATATTTTATATATGCTTTGAATACTAATTAAGTTCTATTTTTAAATTCTATGGCAAAATAATCAGACTATTTGATTCTTTTTGAATCTTTTCTTCCTTCTGTTTATGTGTCCCTAGAGGCTATGTGAATATGTAACAGGGCATTAATATATAACAGGGAGGAGGCTGGATTTTAGAGCTAGTACAAGAATATAACTTCATATATTTGTGATGGCAAATGTATTAACTGTAATCTCAGTGTTAGCATTCTTTGGCATAAAACTGACTAAACTGTGTTGAGATGTTTTATCCATCGTCAAAAATAACACGAGGATAGTATCTTAAAGTAGCAAATATGGTGACAGGTACTTACCTAGATCACGATTATCATTTTGTAAGGTGCATAAATGTTGAGTCACTCTGGTATACCTGAGACTGGTACAATATTGGATGTCAACAATACTTAAGTAAAAAAAACAAAATAGTAAAAATGTGTTTAAAAATAAAAAGTTGAGATATTTCTAACGCATGTTGACAGAATATAAAATTTCTTAATAAGATACCGTGGAGGGTCTAGGTCCTTCACTTTGCTTCACACCCATTTCCTGCCTTCAGGGCATTTTACCCTGGTTGCTTGTTCCCCTCCCCTTCCTGTCCTGGCACTGAGAATTAGACGTAGGGATTCAGTTTCAGCTCTTTAAGGTCCTTGCTCATGTTTTCATTGTTCTTCTGTCAAGTATTGGAACATAATACAAATTTTAAGCAAAACTCTCAACTATTTATTTGCTGATCTGCTGGACAGTTTTAATTGAGAAAATATAGGTGCTGCATCACAGTTTACCACAACTTTTGGGAAATTTCCTTAAGAGTGAGTGTTTTGTTTTTGGTTTTGTTTCCCCCCCCTTTTTCCACCCCAGTAATGCCTGATAAAGTACTGGGTATTCGGAGAAAGAAATACACTTTAAGTAATTCTGCTCTATTTGATGTTACTTGGAGTAGAAAAAAATAGTTCCCAAAGGCAGAGTACTTAGTGAAAAGGACAGTTGGCTACCATGGCAGAATTCAGTTTTCAATACTTACTGCTTAAGAGGCAGGTCAACAATATGGAATGGGAGTTTCTACATTGACTTGCTTCTTTCCCACTAATTTAGGATATACTCCTTAACAACTGCATTTAGCAAGTGGGTGACCCAGAAAGGGTCATTGTGATAACAGAAAGATGGACCATCATCTGTTCTTTTCTTGTACCCTAAGAATAGTTATACTGCTGGTGGGAACGATGGTTGCCAGTGTTGTCCGAAAAAGGTCACCGCCAGCCCAGGCTCCAGAGAGCCCCTTGATTTATGCTAATCTAGAGGGATTTCATACAGATGGTATCATATTACCATAACACTAAACACATGTCTCACTGGTTTGAAGTTATATAATAGAAAATACTCAGTAGCCTAAATTTCTCATAATTATTTTAATCATGTCAGTGGGGCACAGCTATAATGCTTAAGCTTTGAATAAATAGCATACTTTTGAATATGAATTAATTTGAATAACTTATCTATGTAATGTGTGTACATGTAAAGATAATTGTCTAATAGTCACATACCCATAATATGGAAGATTTAGTTAAGATCTTTAATTATGCTGATTTTAAACTATTTAAAATAATTTTTAAATAGACAGAAAACAGGATGACAGCCAGTGGCAGGGTGAAGGGTTCAGATATTGAGCAAAAAGGAAAAAGGACTCATGGACATGGACAGCAGTGTGGTGATCACTGGGGGAGCGAGGTATAAGGGGACTAAATAGCAATGTAAAAAATACACTAAAGATTAAATTAAAAATAAAATATAATAGTTTTAAAATTATAAACCTTAATAAAAGTTTACATGGGGACATTTAAATTATAAAATGTGTACCATTTGTTTTACTGTCATAATATCTCAAGTAATTATTCATCGATAGCACTATCAATTGTTATGCTATAAGAACTTAAAAGTTACAATGGATGCATTCTGCTGATTTAAAGTAACCAGCAGTGTCTGTGCTTTTGAAGATTAGTCTTTACTGAGAAGTTTTTATTCTTCAGAGTGAGCTAGAACAAGAAAGGCAACAGCATGAAGAAGCACTTGCTGCCGTGAAAGGAGAGGAGAAGCTCAGAGTGGACAGAATGGCCCATGACTTAGAAATAAAATGGACTGAAAATCTCAGGTACAATTTTTACTCTGTAACGTAATCTCTTCAATGCAGATGTGCAGAAAATGTTTTTCTCTGTGGCTTATACTGTATTACTGTTAAAGACGTAGTAGCAACATTTTTCATGAATTTTTTCCTGTGATTAGATGCAAAGAAATTGGAATTCTTTGGTTTTGCCTTCAAATGCAGACTGCTTTTTTTCTGATTTCATTTCCTTGAATATAAAATAGGTAGAGTATAACCTGAAATCAAAACACATATTTGTTCTGGTACCTATTCTGCCATTAATAAAATTGATAAATCCATGATCTTGGGTAAGTTACCAATTTAATTCATAGTCCGTAACTATAAAGTAATTAACTCTTATTCTGAGTTGACTCTTGAGGATTAATTATTAAATACTTAAGAAACATGTGAACAAATATACTGCAGTTATTGAGAAAAATATTATCTTTACAAAGGAAATGCATTTGTTTTATTTTAGACAAGAGTGCTCTAAACTTCGTGAAGAGCTAAGACTTCAACACGAAGAGGATAAAAAGTCAGCAATGTCTCAACTTCTGCAGTTAAAAGAGCGTGAGAAAAATGCAGCCAGGGACTCATGGCAGAAGAAAGTAGAAGATCTGTTAAACCAGGTAATAAGAGTCTGGACATTATGAAGTTTCATTTTCCTTGACATTCTCTAGCTAGGGAAATACTATACAACATTTTGTGTTAATTCATTTTGTTCTTTTCTCTTGAATTTTATTTTTCAATTATAGTTTATAGTCATTATTATTTTGTTTTAGTTTCAGGTGTACCCCACAGTGATTAGATAGTCATACACTTTACAAAGTAGTACCCGTGATATTTCAAGTACCCACTTGACAGCATACACAGTTACTTAAAATGTTCATCATTAGCCAAGTGGATAAGAAGTTGTGGTACATATATCCAATGGAATATTAATCAGCCATAAAAAAGAATGAACTCTTTCAATTTGCTACAGGATGGATGGACCTAGAGGGTATTATACTAAGTGAAATTAATCAGACAGAGAATGGCAAACATATGTTTTCGCTTATATGTAGAATTTAAAAACAAAATAAATGAACAAATGAAATAGAACAGACTCATACATACAGAGGTCAGACTGATGGTGACAGAGAGAGGGAAGGGGGATGGGGAGCTGAGTGAAAAATGTGAAGGAATTAAAAAGTACAAATTGGTAATTATTTTGCTGTTTTCCATGAGGCAGATTTAAAATTTTTTGAAGCTCTAATTTGCTTTAATTAAGTGATTCATGAATTAGGCAACATCTCATCTAACAACTAGAAGGGTGTTCCCTCAAAGTTTTACATGTATAACATCAAGGAGACATATTTATAAATTTATGAGTTGTACTAATTATGTTACACATAGAGTTCTAAATATTGAGAAACATTTGCAGTTTTTAAATCTGAATTTGAACACGTTAGAGGTTTTAAATGGAAAAGTCACTTATTTTTTGAAAGTATAAAATCTTTTTTTCAGACCATTAGATACCATTTGGACAGTGGAAGATAGAATTTATTTATTGTACTCTGATTGCCTAAAACCACATACCAGAAGTGAGCTGTTTACTTCTTCCTTACCAACAGGATGTTGCCAGTTGCACTTCAAAATCACTTAAAACATAGTGGTATTCTTAAATCTGCCTTATGTCATGCTTGCTTATTTCCAGAGCATTTATATCTATTCTCAAAAGAATTTTCACTCATTTACACAACTTCTGAATTTATGAATTCTTAGCATTCTCCTGCCAAGCCAGTAATTAAATAGGACTGACTGCATGAGTCACTAGTTGAAAAGCCAGCACAGAACTTGGAGAAGCAGCAGCTCAGTAATTTAGTGCTAGGAATCCACTATTATCTTTCTATTTGTGATCCTGATGGATTTCAAAATAAACAGGATAGACTTTTTGTAAGTTATTTTGTTACATAAGTACATACATGCAGTGTCCTTCAAAGTACTAGGGGCTTGCTAGTTTGTGTCTGGAATTCTATAGTCATAATGATATACATACGTGTGTATATGGGTATATGTATATATGAGCTTTTGTGAATAAACCTGAAACCTTTGAAACTCACAACAATAAGAACAATGGAACAAGAATTCTCACTAGAAATTGGGCACCACTTAGGGACCTAGAAGGACAGATTTTACTGGATAGAGTGGTGTTCCTCCTTTGTAATGTTCTATTAGGAAGATTTAACTATTTCAATTACATCATAAAACTGAAAAACACCCCTAAAAGTCTGCCTTGGTTTTCAGTCAGGACATATTGAACATAGACATTTTTTGACTGAATTTTACACTGTAAAGAGAGCCCACCACTTCTTCCACCTATTTTCTATTAAGTCATTTTATTCATTATTCATTTAACCTGTCTTGTCAGATTTCATCCATGCTTCTCTTTTCTTTCTTTTTTATTTTTTTATGTTGGTTCTGCCTTGTTCATTTGTAAGAGCACATCATGCTTTGCATCTTGTTCTATTTTCATGTATTATAAAATAATCTATTGCATATTGGCCCCAGTTTTGCCAGTTTTACAGAATTTTTTAGTCAATCTTCAATGCAGATTAATCATAAATATGAAGATAACCAGGAATTAATTACTTCCACAGTAATAGGTAACACTGTCTTGGGCCACTGTGTGCCATTAGGCCATTTCTACAAAAACAATATCTTTATTCCTCCCCACTTCTCCAATATATAGGGCATACACTTCACCATAAATAAACTGGAAATAACTTTTACACTCCATAATTGTCTACTCTTAAAGAAAGTTAAGAAAAAACTGAAAAAAAGATTCCACATTTAAATGAAAGTGGCTATTATGTTAGCAAGGTTTCACTCTTTCTAGACATACGAGACGACAAAAAATTGTATCAGGACCAGCAGCCTTTTTAATGGAACTTTGTAATGGACAATGGACTCCTCCTTCTTGGCCCTTTGGATATTGTTCTCATGACTCTTTCAGATGGATTCCTAGAGCCTGTGCTACCACTTGCCTGACTCTTGCTAAGCCCTGGTTTTCGCACCCACCACTCCCAGCTGGGGCCCCATGACCATTTCACTGTTTTCACGGCTGCTGGCCTCACCCATCCCCCTGACCCCAGCACTGCAAACACACCTCTGCACTTGGGGAAGGCATATGTGGTTTGGGGGTTGAGATACTTGGAAGATTGAGAGTAGGGAATAGAATTGTAGTGGCCAGGGTTTAGGCAGAAGCATATGTTATAAAAGGTATCAGAAGATCTGCATTTTTATATATTTTAACTGTTTCCGTGAACTGAGTCAAGTTAGCGCATTAGCTTACTTGTATTTCATCCCACTTAGAACAAAGAAGAAGTAAAATAATTTCTTTCATGTGAATTTTAAACTCTTAAGAATTAAATTTGCTTTAAACCAGGGATGTCTTTGGCATCTCTGGGTCACTCTGGAAGAAGAGTTGTCTTAGGCCACACATGAAATATGCCAACATTAACAAAAACTGACGAGCACAAAAAGGGTTTTAAGTGAATTCACAGTTTTTGTTGGGCTGCATTCATAGCCATTCTGGGCCACAGGTTGGATACCCCTGATCTAAACTAACCTTCATGGCCTGCCTACCAAAAACTAGTCAAAGAAAAGCACAAGAATTTTACTTCTCTTGAATCAGATGTTTTTCTGAACACTATTATTTTCATTCTGTGCTTAAATTGGATTGTAATTTAATATCTTTTGGTTTCCTTTTAATATTTTATTGTGTTCATTTTTTCTTTCCAGTAATTACACTTTAGTCTAAGACTAATTATGCTTCCTAGGTTTATTGTTGTGAACATTAGAATTCTCTTAAAGCAAAAGAACTGCATTCTTATTCTTCAAATTGTCTAAAGAAAAGCAACTATGTGGAGTCCTTTGTGATCATATTTTCTGTTTGTGATTCTCTAATACCATTATATATTCCTTTATTTCACCTTTGTTAAGGCTGATTTTATTTTGGTTGCAGTATGATGACTTTATATTCCAGTGCCCTCATTCAGGGCAGTGGACTGAGAAATTTGTATGACACACAGATTATTCAGACACAGAAATGGAATTTTAATTTGTATCTGACCCTCCATTTTTAACTTTGAGACCCCAAGGTCATTTAGGTGGTGATAGCTATGTATCTACTATAGTTTATCCTCCATGAATTCACAGTCGAGTGGGAAGAAGATATATATACAGATACCTGCAGTAAAATTTACTATGCCTAAGTGACTTGATAAATGACCTGGACAGTCTGTGCTGTGGGAGCAATGGTGTGCTGGAACTGGCTCCTCCCAGATCACGATAGCTGATTGTGTTCATGTCCTCCCAGCTCTGTATTCAGGGACATCCTGTTGATGGTTTGCAGTCATCTGTGGTGTGGGTGTTTACAGCACATACATTAGCAAATTCTACAAATCAGGGCTTTGCTTTTCTGAGAACTGTTTAACATTCATTAACATACCACTGGGAAGGAGAACAGAGTAGAGAAAGAGTAATATAGTCCATGTGATTGGGAAAGACTTCATTGAGAAGATCAGTTTGAGTGTGATTATTGAGTAGAATGAAGGATGAACACAAATATTTGTATTTAGTCAACAAACATTTTGTTGAATACATTCTTATTTCCCAGGCATATGAGGAATAGAAAAACAAGAAATGGGGATAGTTGAGGAGAGAAGTCATAGTGAAAAACTGACTTCTAGGCTTAGTGCAAAGTTTACTCAAACTATAAAACTCTGTTAAAGGTTTATGGATACGGGGCTGACTGAAATTTTTATTTTAGGAAGTTGAATATGGCTGTGATATTGAAGTGAGGATGAAATGGAGACATCTCAATATAAATATCTGAATCCCAGTGTCTGAGATAGAATGCACACCATGCACCCTGCCTTCCCAGCTCAGCCTAAGACTGCTCCTCCTAGACGCAGCCATCACTTCCTGCTTGGCCATCTCTGACTCTGTCTCCCCCTGGACTGCCAGTCCATCAGCATGTCCTACTACTCTCCTTTCAGGGCACATCCAGGAGGTGCCCATTTCTCACCACTGCCTCCACTGCCACCCTAGGCCAGGCCACTTGCAGTTCTTTCCTGCACTGCAACTGGAGTCTGCATTTGGTCTCTCTGTTTCTACTTACCTGCCTACAAATTATTTTCTAGCCAGCCAAAGTGAGGCTCTTAAAAGTACTGAGTTGGATCATGCTACTCTCCTGCTTCAAACCTTCCATAGGCTTCTTACCTCCTTTAGAATACAACCCATGCTCTTCCTATGGCTGCAGTAGCCTCAGGGTTTGGACTCTGGCAGCATTGCCAACATTACCTACTGCCCTCTCTCTTGTCCTTTTCTGCAGTCATCCTAGGCCAGTCAGTGTTCCCAGAACACACACCATGCCTAATCCGTCCCAGGGCCTTGGCACCTGCCAGTCCTTCCACATGGAACCCACTTTCTCCAGATCAGCAGGACTTGTTCTTTCACTTTGTTCAAATCTGTGCTCATGTCTTAGCTTTCAAAAGGAGCTTCCTTGACCACTTTCTCTAAAACAGCACCCTCCACCACTTTGTCCCCACATTCTGCTTTGTGTGTCCTCGCAACATTGATTGTT